ATATGCACTTCCATGAAATTTAGAAAAATAGTTATATGATAGTACTGTTAAGCTTTTTGCAAAGATAATGACATTTTGCTGTCAGCAATTTATGAATAACAATCCTAAATGCAAAAAATTCGGGAAGACGTCGGCCGTGTTTGTCCCCGGTTACAATGCCTTTGACGTATCAAAGGCAGCATCAGGAATTAATTTATGTATGAACGTTTTGTTAAAAATTCAAATCAAAGGGATACGTCATATTGACTTAGTTTCATATGTGATGATTTGCAATAATCAGTCACAACATTTTCCTTTGCTCAGTATAATAAAGTTCGCTATTTCTGGAGTCATTATATTTTATCTATTTATATACAAAAAGAATGTAATTGAAAAGTAATGAAGCCATCGTCGGTATTGTTTTTCTCTGAAATGATAATTGAAAAAAAGTTTTAATTTAAATAATATATTATGAAATGGAAATAAGTCGATACTGCTGTAATTGTCTTTAAAATTTACATTGAAGTTAAGAAAAGCGGGACTGAAGGTGGGGGAGGAGGTTTATTTTGAACAAGTATTTTTATACAATAAAAATATATATAAGGAAATGATTTTAGCAGCTCACAATATCTAACGAAGAACATTGTTGATTTCGACTAGATTTCTATAATGATGTATTGACGTGAACCAAAAGCATCTTGAAAGATTACTGTAAAATATAACTTTATTTTTTCGTTTCGATACTTATATTCTTCTTTTCTTTATTTTTGATATCCTTGACAAAATAAGCTACATTTAATTTATAAAAAAGCACTATTTGCAACAAGTCATTAATTTATTTTTAGAACAAACTGAAATATACTGCAACAGAAACTATTGTCCTTAATGTATTTGATAAAAAACTGATTGAATGAATTCATGAGCGACCAGACAAGTCTTTGAATCATTCAATGCCTTCCAGATGTAGCTACTGCATTAGATATTACATCTGGTTTCGACAATATTATTTGGCGTGTTTTATAAGTCAATTCCCTTATGGCCATTGATTGTAATTAACGCACGCTTTCACTGAAACAGATCCTCACACTACCATTAGAGCTATATAAATCTACAGCAATCGACAGAAAATTTGTGAATATATTCAATATACTAGAAGGAATGTCATTTGGGAGCAATGAAAAACACTGAAACAGTATGATACCACGATGTCAATTAAAACTTGTTATGATTATAATTGGTAGTATTAGATATCAGTTAAAAATAAATCATCTTCATAATTATATTCGTCAACAAAGGCATGTACAAAACGAACGCTTTAATAGATGTTATATTCATCATGTTAATCTGCTAAACAATGATTGACATTAATTGCTTATTGTCTATTAATCGGTGGTTGCGTCTGTTACGTAGTTCTGTGGCAAGATTTAATATGTTAGACTCCATTACAGTGATTTATTTAATAGCAGTTTAAAGTGGATTAGCAACATTCTTATACAGTCTACAGAAAAAGCGACATGTTGTTATTCAAAAACGCACAAAAATGAGAGAAAAAGATTTTTACAAATATCGATAGCAGTAAATCTAAACTTAATAACTGCTGTTTAAGAATTCTTTATATTTCCAAACAGCATTAAATTGAAAGAAGGTTATTAAATTTAAAACAAAATCAAGTTACAAATAATACTTATTACATAATGGATTTGATGTTACTTTAACAAAACCGTTCTACGATCATGTAACAATTTGTTAATTTGTTAAAACAAGCAAAACTGTTCATATCAACAAACTTCGATCTGCATGGTTATTATAGAGTTGTGGAAACAAATAGAAAAATATTTTCTTTTGATTAAAGGCAGATTTTACCCCGTTCACAAAATATTTTACTTCTTTACAAAATGCAAAAATGAAGTTTAAATAATGGTTTTAGATAATAGCTGATGTATGTTACTGATGAATGTGAATACTTGTCATAAAAGAAGCAAAATATAAACAAAAGTAGTATTTTGACTTCCATAAAAAAATATTTATTAAATGACTGTACTTAAAAGCAACACCTGAAAAAATTGGCTCAGTTCACTGGCTAATGAGTAACTTTCGGATACTGTTAAAGAACACTAAAACTGAAAAGCATTTGAAAAATAAAATTAAAAACATTTCTAAGGTATAATGGGCCTTTGAGATAAAAAACTAAAGGGCATTTAGAATAAAAATAGTTTTGATTTGAATGACAGAATTTTTTATCGTAGTAATTATTTTAATATCTAAATTCCTCAGACTCACATCAAACATTTTCGAGTTCAAAATAAAAGCTTTTTTAAATTCAGCTTGGGAGGGTTAGTTAAAGACAACAACAAATTGCAACAATGATTTTTTGTTATTTCATATAATACATTTTCACCATATTTCAGAATCAAACACTTTATCACTAACATCAAAATTGAATAAAACTATGTTTATTGTCGAATAATACGAGTACACATACTTGCGTTTCATTTACACTATATTTATTTAAGTTATTATCATAGAAATAATATTTATAAACGAAGTCATAAAACAATACAAATATAATGCTTTTAATAGTACAGGAATTTGAATCTCGCTTTGAGATCACACTTAAAACTACCACACATTGTAGTTTGAGCGCTTTTTAAAAAAAAAATGTCATCAAAAGATAAAAATTCACCAAAGACTAGTACATTTGTATGGAACTAGATGATCAATACATGTCTTGTCCGACAAAAAGAAATCTTAGTAAAGAATTTGCAATGTTTATCCTGTTTTATTTAATGCTTTTCAGGGGATTACTGATTTATCCGTGAAAATTATATTTGATAATTTCACAGTGAAAATTATCAAATATAATTTCACACTTTTCAATGACGAAACTACTTTTTTAAGATTTTCCCCATGTGGTACCTCAATTTTTTTTTTGCTGACAATTCTGACAATGTCAGGCTGTTTAAAGAAAAAGCAAAGCTTAAATTGATAAATAACTTTAATGTCAAAAGTAATAAAAAGAAGAATTCTTACTTCTATTCATTCAAATTCCAATCACCAAATTTCGTCTCTAAATTTTTTTGTTTCATTTTTATAGTCTGAAAAATACATTCCTTCCCCATGCAAAACTGCTCTTGGTGACATTTAGGCATATTAAGTATCCTACGAGCAATAACTTACTGCCGTATGCTTTATGAAAACTTGAAAAGCAATGACAGCCATCACTCGAAGAATAAGTAAAACTACCCAGCGTTCCTGAGCAAGCTTCCAAGTTTTCCATTTTCCTAGCTCCTTTTTTGAATGTTTTTATATATGTCAACACTTATTTTTTGTCTGTTACAATCCTCAAATAAGTTTTCTTTCTTTTAAAAAGGTGTATGACTAACAAATCGAAATTATATCCCTCTGAATCTTACACAATTATTTTACTCCCATGAAATACACTACTTTAAAAAATGGCTGCCGCTTACATTTTACAAAGCCAGGTCTACAATAAATTCGCAGTAAGTAACAGAAATATGGATGGATGGTTGGACTTTTTCTCCTAAAAGAATTGTTTGTTTTTATTATTAAAATAAGCGATCATTCATATTTTTTAATAAAATGAATAAATATCACCGTCATTTAACGTTGATTGGCGGACTTATTTTGCAGCTCAAGACTTCTTGTTTTTAATGAGAAATTCTGACTAAATGGGGCTCTCAATGGGGAAAATAGATTTTAATATTAACAATAAAATTATTGAAATTTCGTTTAAACTTGTTTTAAGCATAAAATAAAAAGAAAATTTGTTTGTTTGTTGTGTAAGATGTTATTTTATTTCATCTTGTGATTTTTAAAAACAGTATTCTCACTCGTGGCTACGCCGCTCGTGAGAATACTGTTTTTAAAGCCCACTCGATGAAATAAAATTTCATCTTACACACAAACAAACAAATATCCTCTATTTAATTTAAACCTTTGCTACGTTTTATTTAGTACATATTGACTTAAATTATAAAAACGTCTTATAATGGTTGCAAGTAGATCATAAGGTTGCGGGTAGATGAATTCTGCGCTTAGTTTTTTATTCTACAATCGATTGCTGCACAATATAACATAGAAAATTATGTCTATAATAGAGAAAAAAACTCAAACCTGACATTTATATAATGAGGTCTACCTGCACCTAGCTGTCCTTCTCAGGTTAACGGGTGTGATAATAGGGGTCTTTATATCTGTGTGAAGTGAAACATAACATCTGTTTGGTCACAGTTCCTCCATGGAAACTGCAATGTTTACTGCTTTGCATATTTAATAAATGTAAACAAATTTGATGATGTTTTAGACCCGTTTTTGTGTGGGAGAGTAGGTTTAATATTCTTATGACGCATTCCATGCTAACCACATGAAGCTGACACATTAAATATATCATCTGTTTCTGACATTGTTTTCAATATCATAAATCAGTACTTTTGCGATCATTATATGTTAACGATCATTTTCTATGGAACTGTCATATACATTTCTCCATATTTCTCCGTGGCAATCATATCCCTTCACATATTTTTTTTGTGAAAAAAGGCAATAACTTTGGTTTTCTTTTTGGACGAATTTAATGTGTCAATGTTTTTATTGGCTTTCAATTGTCAACATCCATTCAACTCTAAACGTGCTTGGACCGAAAATGAATATGTTTTCGCCACCAGTAAAGAGTCAGACCAGCCAGCACATAATCTGACTAGGCTGTTTTCTGTTGCAATAAAGTTTTATTTATTTTGACCTTTCAATCTTTGAATTGACCACAGGTGAACGTTATTACATAGAATTAGCAGGTTAATGTGATATTATTTGTCGTAGTGAACATTTAAGCAGTTTAAAGAAAACTTCATGTTTAGGGGGAATTTTTCCATATCATATCATATATTCGGTGTCTGGCATATGGAGCACACTGTATACAATAACATAATGCACAAATGTCATGTAATTGCAAAACTATCGCCGAAGATGCAAGTTATGTCACTTATCTATGTTCTGATTTTCAGCTTTAACAATCGATTGCTACGATTGTAAGTCTCAAAATGGCGATCATAAAGAATGTGACGATACATTTGAGAGGGATATTACTACTTACAGCCTTATTTCAAGAAACTGTTACTATGGTTTCTGGAAAGCACAGTTTTGTATAAAACTAAAAGGAACTCGAGGTGAGTATCTATTTAATTTTCTTAAATATCTCATACACAAATTAAAAAAGACTTATCTTTTACATTCCATAATTAATATTGGCTTTTAATCGAAACTCGGAGTTTTAAAAATGATGTGCTTTCATAAAAGAAACAAATGCTGAAAGATCAGTACAAAATAAACCTTGTTATTGACTGAAAAGAATTGATAACAGTAAAAAACTATTCTAATTTAGTTTATAAAAATATTAATTTTGATGGATATTATAATGCATTGTTAAGCTGTCTACCAGAGTAGATCAACCTGTTTTTTATTCCGGCGTTAGTATCGCCATTAGAATTCAATATTTTCTATTATTTTATCAATTCATACTACCTTAAAATTTAATCTATGCATTTGCTTTTGTCTAACGAACAAAATACATATTTTTAGTCAATTAATAAATTACGATTTCACACTCCTTGTTCTGTACTGAAACATAACAGTCAAATGTTTATGTAATAGTATATACGTAAATAATGCAGTATTATTATTCTTATATGACATTTGAATGATTTGAAAAGTTCCGCTGCATATACTTGATACTCAATCAATCTGTACAATTCACATTATCAGCTTATTGATAAATTGTTTTGTTTCCTTTTTTTTTTTAAATAAAAAAAATTATTCATAAATTTTCAGTCGTCTAATTTATATACAACGTGCAGTATTATTAATACTTCAGTTGTATTAAATGCTTCAGCTTTTCAGCTATATAATGCAATGTTTCATATCAAGTCGTAAATCTGTATTTTATCTAAATTATTTATACATTGCAGCTGATGGTTCAACAATTGTCGTGCGACAATGTACAGTAAAGAACTGGGGCAGTCACTGTGGACTCATCCAGTTTCAGACATCGAAAGGACTAGAGGACATAGATGGTTGCTTAGAATCATGTGACTATGATGGGTGTAACATGGCAACGACTTATAAACAGAACTATTTTGTTTTATGTATATCTGTGATTTTTGCATGGACGGTTTGGCTTTGGAATCGTAGATAATTCTAAATGTAAAAAGAAATCTATGACACATTATGTTTGCTCACTCTTTTATCTTTTTTGTATTTAACTGCAAATTGTACTATTTATTTAATGGTTTTAGTTACAAATTCATGTCATTATTTATATTATCTAAAACACCTTATGTAAAAATGATTGAGAACGATTGGTTTGAACGCTAACAGGGCGTTTAATATAGTTCATATTTGTAGTTCCAAACTTTGGCTTTTAATCCCAATCAAGGAATAACTTCACGCATTCATAACAATGAATTATGCCAAATTTATTTTAAGAACGTGCCGACACTTGATGTAGTGAAATTGCAAACGCTTTTTGTTATTTTTTATACTTTATATGAACAACTAACTTGAAGATCAGCCATTATTATTTCAGTTATATTTGTTATTTTCGAAATGTTAAAGACAATTAATTTATGTGTAATACCATTTTAAATGACGAGTATTAAACGTAACCATTCGTTTTCATTTGTATGTTTACCAAATAAAACTAAGTATAAAAAAAATTTTGACCAAAAAACAAATCCTTATAGTTATATAATTATACAAAAAATATTTAAAGCTTCTTATATTGATAAAACAATAAAATGTGTCAAATATGAAAAATATCAACAACAACTGATTCTAAGACTATAAGTTTCATTGTTTTGTACTCTCATTTGACTCTTTATTGCACGAAAACACACATTGATGTTGTTCAGTAAATTATTTTTATTCACGTGTGTAACCAAAGGTAATTATATCGTTTGTGTCGAACAACGTTATCAAAGACATGATTATAATGTGGTTATTATGTATATAAATGAGAGAATGAAGGATACACAGTGATAAGAGAGTATGATATTTTAAACAAGCCAGAAACAAAGTCAGAAGAATATTTCATATAGGTATTTTAACAAAATATAACTGATGAATAAAAAATGAGAACAAAGACCAACAGCGCACTTGTTCACAGCCCCGACATAATCCAGTCAGACAAGCAGGACATCAATAAGGCACCGAACCAAAAACGAGAGATGTTGCAGGGGCGGTGAAAGGAGGGAAGGGACATTTAATAAGTGAAATGATCAGAACAAAATGGGGTCAACTAAACTAATAAAACTTAACTTTAATTTAATTCAATTTAACTTTATGTTAAACTAATAAACAAGGACTGTTTCATATGAAAACTACAAAAATCAGTACACGTCACTGTTATAATGACTTGTGGACGGTGAAGATATACATGTATATATCATTACATTCAGGCTTTCATTAACAGATATCTTTCACACATTCGTGCAACTATGAAACCACATCTTCTTCTCGGCTTCTGAAGACCAGTTAAGCCGTTCAGACTTAATGATATTTAACAGTTTTGAATAAATGTTGGACTTGAAATTATCAAATAACCAGTGTTAATAAAGCGAAGAATAATGTTTTTTAGTTCTGTGTTCTCAGTATTATGTTTCAGTTGATTTTTAATGTTGTTCATCATGTTATTGGTTGTAAAGTTTCATGTTATTGTTTTGGTTGTGTGAACACATAATATCACTTGATGTTAAAGTTTTATTGTTTCCTTATTTCACATTGACAAAAAATGAAATGAGAGTGCTTTATTGTGTAACGATGTCAATTGATGTTTCACAATCAATGAATAAAATATTAATGCAGGTCAATTAATTAGTGCTAGTTTTTATTTATTTCAGAGAGTATGTAGATATTAAAATCACCAAATTATATTATCTGAATGTAATTTAAATTATTGTCATGGTTAAATGACACATTATGCTTATGTCTCTGCTTTGGGTCATTGCTCAAACATTTTCAGACAACATTCAAGATTTCAACTATCAGCATTTAATCTTTATCATTCTCGTCAAAAGCAAAAGCTATATTCAAAATATTTACTTATTTAAAAAATGTGTTTAAATATAAAAAGATATATTTCTAAATGTCCGAAAAGATTTGAATTATCAACTGCTTGGCTAATGTTGACTCAATCACTTTTTTCCTCTATATATTTTCAAAAAAAGGTATTTACATATTGTTGGATGAAGGTGAAACTGACATAAATTGGTAATGCTAAATCTGGTGTCGTGGGTGTGCATGAATAGAAGCTTGCATTTACGACTATTGTCGAGAAGCAGCTTCAATCAAATAAAGTCGTAAACTTTTTCAATTTCTTCGCATTTGGTGACCTTTAAGATTTTACTACACTGAAAATAATTGTGCGGCGGTGGAACTGTTGTATTATCATTAGTACAAATCGCTTGCGACTGTTTTATGCATTAAAACAATTTAGTAGATGTAGTACACGTATCTATTATTTTTTTACAAAACCCACCAGAAATTGAAATATCAAGCAAAGGACATCTTCATGAAAAAGAATTACATATAGATTTTTTTTTCTAATTATAAACTGCAATTTGGTCCAGTCCAGTCCATTTAAAATTAGAATTGCAATCATGATATCAAATGTAAGAGAAAAATGTTGATGCTCAAATCAAATTTATTGAATTTACAAAACTTTTCATTGATCTATAAGGCTATTCAGATCATTAAATTTGAAACAAGGGTAATAGTTACATATAGTTCTTGATAAATCGTATTGACTTTTATATTGCTCTATATTAAAACTGAATATTTAAGAAAAATTGAAAGTGCAATGAGTAAATTTTAAAAATACAACTAGCTCCAAAATTGTGCAAAATAGAATTATGACTTTGTAAAATGTATGTTTCGTCAATGAAAATAATCCATTTATTAGGATGCAAGTTGATATAGCCAATTCGTCTTTATTTTTACTCCCGAGAAAAATCAAATATGAAACTTAAAAATTGGCAATAGTTCTTAAAACATATCAAAATGAGTTATGATTTTAACATTTAGCTTTTAATTCAGCTGTCAAATTTGTATCTCCAATATTAACCGAATAGTATACTGCACTTGAATATAAAGGGAGGTAACTTTAAAATTATGCAAAGGATAGTAAAAATTATACATTTTAAAGAGTTCTTATGTACTGCACTTCTGCTTAATAATATCTGTTTATTACTGCCTAAATTTGACATCACCATTTGTTTTGAGTTAAGCGCCGTGGAAAATTCAGGTATGAAAAAAGGCAAAACGGTTGCATTGCACTTTGTAGCCATATTTACTAATCAAGTACCTCACATAAAAAGTATGTGAAGACGGATGTCTAACAGACAAAACAAGGAATTTCGGACGCAGAAAGGCGAAGCTAAACACCTCCGTCTACGTCGAGAGATAATTTAAGCTTGCACGTATTGCGAATACCTACATTTTTGCCTTATTTCGTGTTCAAGTTATGCATAAGTTCGGCGACTTTGACAACTTATACAAACTTAAAAATTATGGAAAACTAGAATATGTTAACATATGAAGCTACAAATTATATCAACAGATATTTCTATTTATCAGAACTATATAAGATTAAGCAACAAAATTCACAATTGGAAACCGCAAGGACAGGGAAAGCTAGTTTTGCCATAACGTCTGAGAGGCAGTAATTAAGTGACCTTATGTATATTAAGAGCTTCTTAAGACAGTCTCGATGGTTATTAACGGTCGTTTTGTCTCAATCAAATCATCATTACGTGAAAATGTCTGCTTTTATGAGGAAATTCTCTATTCTGTTTGAAGAAGTGCTAATGAAACGAATATTATTCGCACCTTAAAAGCCGTAATGACCATGTTGTAACCGATTTGAAGATATAAAATATGTCTTACATTTTACAAGGTACTTACGTATGGAATATTTTATGACAATGTCTTTAATATTAAGGAAATTTAAAAAAGCTGCTTAGGTTACACGCAATGATGATTATTGTCTTGTTTCACATATCTTTTACAAGGCGGAAAAGCAAAAACATTATCTTAGCTCCTTAACGTTCTTATGCGAAATAAGCCAATAAATATGTTTGGCATTAAATTTCTAACATTTGCTTTCTGGCATATTTTGTAAGAAGATTCAACATATATTATAACAATGCCAGTTCTTATACAAGCAAGAACGCTATAACAATCTAGTTTAAAGTTATGGCTGTAATTTGAAATAAACTTTACTCATAAAGCTCAATAGAAACCAGTAGCGTTAAAAATAAGTACACTGTACAAGGAATGCAACACTATAACATTCTTCAGTACTGGAATTTCGTATGTTTCCTATAACAGTCATTATTTCTGTCATATTTTTTCCTCTCAAAGATAATAGAATTAAACGAGAGTCTAAAGGTCGATTATTCTGCAGAATATCCTAGATAGTCCTTATCTCTATTAGGTGTCCGAATTAGAATTATTGCTTGAGAAAACAGAATCACAAGTTTATTTTATTGAATTCGATAGCTGCTATTTGAAAGTTTTTTATTCAAAATAAAAAGATATAAAGAAATTAGCAATTTTTTTCTATTTCATCCGTTTTATCGTCTTATTTGTGATATGCAGGCTTCATAACCTCAGATCCCCTTTCAAAATTCTATTTTATTTAATTCCGCCCATTGTTTTCTCGTTTAGGGCAAAACCATTCTTTTACTTGGGGACCATACGCCGCTTTTCATGGAATGGCACTACTGTGTCACATTGAAGATTCCATGATAACCGCCGTATGAACACATCTGCGGATGTTTCTAAATTCAAAATTTCACCATTTTCGTGTTAAATGTTGAATTCTGCTTAAGCCAGTGCTAGGTGGGGTGGACGGTAACTTGCACTTTCCAGTACCGTCCATGAACAGGCTCAATCAAACCGAGCCTGCAACATTTTCAATTTTGTTGTGTTGAATTTTCTTTAGGAATTCTGTTTTTCTCTATTCTTTACCAGAAATAATGTCGCGTTGCAATATATGTTCTGTGAATTATTTAAATTGGTAAGCGACCAACTTTATATGCAGTATGATAATACAATTGTAACCGCCGTATTTATTACAAAAGGACGGATATTCGTGTTTTGTGGTATTTTGAAATTTACATTACATTTTTAGAAGCTAGATGACAATATATATTTCTGTCTTTTTTGTACCTTAAGTCCTATAAATATGTTGGCAATATTGTAAAAGTAATTGTCAATTTTAAAAGCCGACAGTTACTTGTAATGTAGAATTTCCAATAACAACGAATTATTCGTAAGCATTATTATTGTAAGTATAACCATTCGTCATTGACGAGATAAGTCTAGGTTTGATACAAAAAATACGTTATAAAGGATAAAATTGTATGTGATATTTAATGAAGAATTTTACCTACTCCTTGCAAGATGATTATAATCATATGAATGATAAATAAATCGAAAATATATAGATAGTTTAAAGTTAATTGTTTTCTTTCCATAACCGTTGCACTTCAAACAATCATTGAATTTAGAAATACAGCTGACAATTAATGCACAATTATTAAATTATTTATACCGATGGTCTAATAAAACAAAGTGAATAAATTATACTTCGTGATACATTGTGATGGATGGGAAAGATCCTAGTTAGTTACGGACTATCCTTCTCCTCGAGTCAATAAGTATAATATCTTGAAAACAGAGATCC